CACACACACACACACACACACACACACAAGTGTGCGCACTGGAAGGCAAGGATTAAATGAGATTCAACCCTGAAAGAATTTAGTATTATGCCTTTCAATACACAGTAGCTACAGAAGAGAAAAATGAGAGGGGGGAAAAAAAGAGTTGCTGACGTCTTCACCAGTAAATGTTATGAAAACTAATCTTTGGACAAAACAAGGCAGAAACATCATCAAAGTTGCACTTAAAAAAATTCAAGTTTACATATAAAATAAGAAAATACTTGTTTTGGTTTCTATGGTTGTAAGTCATTTTTATTAGACAAAGACAATGAAAATCACCCATAATGCCATCACATATAATCACTGTTAATGTATCGGTGTATATCCTTCTAAAGTTTTCATATATCCTCACACAGACACAGGCAAGTTTTGTGTGCATGTTTTAAACAAATGAAATCAATTAACTCAATTTTGTATTCCCTGGTGTGTGTGTGTGTGTGTGTGTGTGTGTGTGAAATCTAGTCCCCTAATAGAAACAAAAGCAAAGGGCCTAAACCCCTCAAAATAGAGTATATAAGAAATGGTATTTTATAACCAGTTTTTAATTTAATATATCACAGTAGTATTCTATTACAACAGAGAGCAAGTCATCATTTGTAGTGTCTAATATTTCAGTGAATATTCACTTCTAGTCTCTTAGAGGCTAAGCTGCTCTTCTTTCCATGTAAATTCTAAATACCACTACTATAATTCATTTATCCACATTGATCTCAGGTTTTCTTATTGGAAACAATGCCGTGAACATACATGTTTGCTTACTTGGAGGGCATGACATGCACATTTTAAATTTTGATATGCACTGCCAACCTGCTCTCTGGAAAAATCATCCAAAGTACATTCCATTGATGGTGCTAATATTCCCATCACCTTGCCTATCTAGGTTTGGTTTGAAATAAAACCCTGCTTTTACTACCATTAGTAGTGAAAGGCTTTAGTATAAGTTAAAAGAGAGAGGGGGAGAGAGAGAGAGGAAGGAAGGGAGGGAGGGAGGGAGGAAGGAAGAAAGGAAGAAAGGAAGAAAGGAATTTAGTTCACATTAAGAAGAAAGTATTTAACAACAAGGACCTACTGTAAAGCACAGGGAACTATATTCAATTTCTTGTAATGAGTTGTAACAGAAAAGAAACTAAAAAAAGTATATATGTGTGTGTGTGTGTGTGTGTATATACACATATATATGTATAAGACTGAATTCCTTTGCTGTAACCCTGAAGCGAACATTGTAAATCGATTACACTTCAATAAAAAATAAGAATTAAAAAAAAGGAAGTATCTGAGGAAAACCAAATAAAACATAATTTAAAAAAAAAAAAAAGACTTGGGGGAAAATCCCAAGGATCCAAATTCTCAGAAATTCCCATTCAACTGGGAGTTGGGTTCTTCAATACCCTGCTTACTCCTTCTCCCCATTCCTTTGTTTTATGTGTTATGTGTTACTTTTTAGTAATCATCTGTGGTGAGAAGGACAAGGGGGGGATGTACAATGGTAAGAAGATGCACACTCCACAGAGCGCCTCTCATACTGACCCATGAATTACTCCAGCTTCCCTTGGATGCACCACTGTACCACTGTACCAACCTACCGAGTTGCATATGTCACAAAAATGGAAACAATGGTTTCAAATGTTTTACCTCCAGCACGATAATTAAATTAATTGTTTGCTCTGACTTCTGTGACCATCAGCAAATTCTCCCTATTATCACTAGCCATGATGAGTTAATATATAAAAATCTCAGATTATTTCAATCTAACACACCAAATGTGACAAAGAAGGAAAATGTGCCCATCTCAGGAGAGTACCTAAACATAGTACACACCTTCTCAGTGATTACTCCTTATTTCTGATTAAGTAAGCTTAATCAGAAACTAAGTCAACTTTAGATGTACTTTATATCTGAGATACAAAGTAGATTCTTTACATTAATCAGGTAAAATTCACCTCATGTTTTCTTTAACCAGTCAGAATGGCCACAGGGATAGAGTAATAACAGGTATAAAACAACAAGAAAATAGTTTAGATAATATTTTCCTTTTCAAACCATTATCCAGAGATCTTTCAAGTGTCCACAGAAAGATCTACGAATCCAACAATCAAAAGATCACAACTTAGCTTCATATTTATAAAATACTGTATTACTTCAGACCAAGTTGCTGGATCAGGCTTGATAAAAAGAAAAGTGCCATCTCCAGAGCTGCAGCATCAATGTCTACACTGAGTGCACCCACTAAGAAGGTTTGCAATCCAGTTACCCACTACACTGAACTCACTTTTGCTTTCACTCTTAGGTCATTTACTGAACAGATACTGACTATTACAGTCGTCCTTCGGTCTTCACGGGGGATTGGTTTCAGAGCCACCGGATAACAAAAATCTGCAGATGCTCAATTCCCGTATGTAAAATGGCACCGTATTTGCACATAACCTACACACATCCCCCAGTATACTTTAAACTGTCTCTAGATTACTTATAATACCTAATATAATGTACATACTATGTAAATAGGTGCCAGTGCTGCAAATTCAAGTTTTGCTTTTTGGAACTTTCTGGGATTCCCCCCCCCCTCAATATTTTCAATCTGAGATTGGTTAAATCCACAGATGCAGAACCCACAGATATGGAAGGCTGACTGTGTTTAGTACAGATATTATCTGGTGCCAGGCAGCTGTACTGGACTGCAGTGAAGAATAGAACTAAACCCCTGCTCTCAATCCTAGCCGAAGAGACAGACCACACACAAGTATAAATGTTAATAAATAACTTCAGGTAGTGGTAAGTGTTACAAAGACAATAAAATACGGGATGCATTAGGCTGTGACTTGGTGACAAGGAGAAAGTTTCATCAGATGGGATAATCAAGAGAGGCTCGTCTCAGGAGGTGATATCTGAGCTAGACTTTGAATAAGATAAAGTCAATCATGCAATGATCTAGAACAATGTTTCAGGTGGAGGAAACAGCAAAAGTGAAAGAGCTGGAAGCATTTGACAGAAAGAAAGGTGAGTGTGGCCAGAACATAGTGACTGAGGGGGAGAATGAGAAATGAGGTTGGAAAAGGCAGGTTATATACACAGGGCCTCAGAGGCCATGGCAGAGTCTGAATTTGATTCTAGGAATAGTGGAAAGCCATTAAAAGGCTTAAACAAGAGAGTGATATTACCTGATTTAAGTTTTTTAAAAAATCTGATGGCTCTGTAGAGTATGGACTGTGGCAAGAAGGAGATCAATAGAACTGATTGATGTAAACAGTCCAAGTGAGAGATGCTGAAGGCATGGGCAGGGGTGGTGATGAGAACTGAGAAGAATGATCGGATTCAGGGTACATTTTAGAGGTGAGCTGAAATGACTTGCTAATGAATTAGATGTGCTTGGTGGTGGAGTGAGGGCAAAACAGGGAAACTAAGGATTACTTAGACTTGAGCTGCCAGATGGACCATGGTGCTGTTAGCTGATATGAGGAATACTAGGGAAGGAACAGATCTGAAGTGGAGAGTAGGGACAATCAAAGGTTCCATTTTGGGCATGTCAGGTACTGGAGATCTAATAGTCTTATAAGCTGGGGTGTAAACAGCATATAGATGGGATATAAAGCCCACAGGACAGGATGAGATCATGTGGAGAGAAATTATAAACAGAGCCCTGGGACATGCCAATACTGATCAAGTGAGAAGAGGATGAGGAGCCAGCAGAATTGCTGACAGGGAGCACTTGGTAAAGTAAGAGGCTATTAGGAGAGTGTAGGGTACAGAAACCAAGAGGAGAAAGTGTTTTAAGAAGAAAGGAGTAATCAACTATGTTAAATGCTGCTGGAAGTCTAAGGTAAGGAAAGAAAACTCACAAGTGGACTTAAAGCTAGACGTATTAATAAAGAAATAAGGTAGGAAAATATGTTACAAAAAAGGAATTTGATCTTGATCAAGTTATCACTTTTAAAGCTAAAAAACACTTAAAAGAGAAAAGCTCAGCATAATTCCTAAGGTATGCTGATTTATCAAGCTAAGTAATTTTGACTTCCTCTCTCAAAGGAAGAGGTGGGAAGCAATGACTCAGGAGGGTGGCCCACCAAGTTTTCCATTCTTACTCCCTAAAAAGAGGAGCCTTCCCTGACAGCAGTGTGTTGGCATTCAGAATTTATAAGGAAAGAGGAGCAGCTCAGCCCAGGAGTGACTGAAAGTTTACTCGCCCCACTTGATTGTGACTCATCAAAGTCCTAACAGTCTCCTGTCCAAACCAACTCCAAGCTAAAAGTTTCTTTATCTAACCCAAGGGCCCAAGTGAAAGGAAAAAACTGAGGGGGAGACCATATCCATGCCCTTGGCTGGGAGCATTCTTCTGCCATTTTCTTTTCTGAGGCTGCTACTATTTCGCTATCAGACTCCAGCCTGTGTCTCACTCTGGTGAGGACAAAATTAAGAAGAGTGATCTGAGGCCTGCCCACACCCGTGCCGCTTGTCTTTGTGTCTCCTCCTCACTTCCCGCCCCTTACCTGGGTCATTTTGTCCACAGAGACTGGAATTCCATCGATGGTGAGAGGTGGCAGCTCTGAGTTAACCTCCTGTGGTGCAGGGGCGTGTTCTGCCAGGGCAGACTCCAGGTCTTCCAGGATCATGCTCTTGTACTTACGCACCTGCAGGGAATTAAGGGCAGAAGTAAACAAGATGCCCAACAACCAGGGAGGGTTGGTGCCAAGCAACCAGAAAGTGGGTGGAGCTGGCCTTCCTTAGCCATCACAGAGCCCTAAGAACAAACACTACAACTAGCAGATAAAAATACCCACTGGCCCCAAAGACACCACATTGTACAGAATTAAATGAAATGATGAAATTACAGGTAACAACAGCAGAAAGAAACCAGTATTTACAGAAACACTGCTCCTCAGTTAAAATCACGTTTTCTCAGTGAATGCTGGCCTCATTACCTATTCCAGATCTAACAGGAACGGCATCCATTATTCTGCATTTCCCAGGCCATTTGATGAAACCTAGCTATGGCAGTTAATTACCAAAATCATTTTTAAGATCACCAAGGACTTATGTCTCTAAAATTCTATAACCTATTCAAAACATTCCTCTGCCGCTACTTTCCTGCAAAGCTAGACTACAAAACAAATAGGAGATTCAAGTGTACAAGAGGATAGACTGAAAGGCATCAAAGAAAAAAACCCAAGAAGTATATATTGTAGCTGGGTGTCATAGGTGCCACCATCAGTAAGGCCCAGGGCCAGAGAGAGCACTACCAGGTCAAGTCCTCCTTCTTTCTGGTCCTCCCGGGTGACAGAGGTGAACTTCACACCCATGATGCCTCTGTAGCTTTGACAAGCCCAGGTCTGAACCAGCTACTGTTGCTCTGATTCCATTCCCCCACTGCCAGTGAAAGGTCTCTCAAAAAAACGGAACTTCGCAGCAGCACATTGTACATGTACACATTCTTCTATCATGAGCAGCAACAGTAGACAGACATTGGATCCTACAACCGCCAATAGTGGCTTCATTCACTTACAAGAATACACAAGGGGGATGAGGATACCTTTGGGGATAAGAAAGAAGCCATGGAATTATAGAAATGTGACAAGACAGGAAAGAAAATTAACTTGCTTTCAGGACTCAGGCCATTATCTCAGGGAAAAAGGGAAAGAGAAAGTGAGGTTTGCCCAGAAGTTATGACAATGTTTAAGAACTGGGTTTTCTACTATGTGGACTGAACGCTCAATCATGACACACTTCCTTATAAATATCTTATTATGAACATTAAAAAAGAAAGATTCTCATACTCTGCCTCAAGCATCTGAAAAAGCAAAAATTGTTGACTACAATGTACAACTTTTACAGAATTTTCCAAATAGATCAACAATAAAATGATGAAAGAAAAACAGTGCAAACATGTAGAATGACAGCTACTCTAGAGATTCAGTTTTATCCTGGTTTCTAACAAAAAAAGAAAGTTTAAAAAATTATTGCCAATATATTTATTGTAACAGCTGGTGTTGCCATGGCATCTTTAAGGCTTTATACTTTCTGATTTCTAGATTTCTATACCCTATGTAGTTTTTACACTACCAACCCACAGAAAAACTGAATAAACCTAGGTTATGGTTTGAACTTTAATGTATCAGGTTAAAGTATTATAGTAAGAGTGAATGATTAGTATAAAGATAAATTTCACTATGCTGGAAATACCTAGCATTCAAAGACAAAAAAATCATTAGATTATTACTATTATTACATTATTAGCTAGTTTCAAACACTTTCAGACACTTTTATAGGTCAGTAGAATTCTAGGAATTCATATCCAGGCATTTTGCTAAACTTACCAGTGCTATGCAACTCCATAAAAATATCTTGATTTAAAAAATAATGCTGGTAGAGCATCCCCAGAGTAATTTACAATAAAACATCTTTAGGTGTGACCACAGTATCTCTACTTACTAAAGTTAACTAAGTTTCCCAGAATTATAAAGCTGGTGCTTCAATTCTACCTGATCTATCAATTCAGAGACAAAATTTTTCCACATTTATCATTCCTCTGAAATTGGGATACATCTTAAAATTGCTGTAGACCAGGTGTCATGGGGCACAGAAGTCACTGCCTGCACATATATGAACATGGCTGTTATCCCTGGAGGCATGATTGCAACCCCTAGCCTTTTCAATCATCAAGCCATTTAGCACTATTTCAGAAATGAACATGTCTTGGTTGTTGTCTGGTAACTCCCCCAGTGATCAAAAAGAACCAGCATCAAACTTGTGGCAGCTAGGAAAAGGTCTCAGAGAGGATAGCAGAGCACTTTTTAAAATGCCACCCACACTTCCTATGACACTGAGGACAATATTCCATGAAACCACACAATGATGACTCTGAAACAAGAATAATTCAGAACTGGACTCTGTGGAAAAGTTTCGGAATAGCAATTTATTTCACTTACATGTTCCTTTTTGTGTATATACAAAAGCAGTATGATTAAAATCTATATCTAAGTAAGCCTGAAAGAGCTCTTTCAATAAGTATAAAGTAAAAATTCTTAGCAATAAGCGTTGTGTCAGTTTGTCAATGTTTTTTCTTTCTTTGTGGTGCATAAATAATGGTGCATCTTATAATTGATGGTGTCAAAGACATGATGAAATACAAGTCTGTTTGTTTTCCAACGTCTACCTTCTATTCTAAAAACCCCAGCTAAAGCCTGTCACTTCATAACTTGTACATCACTGTCAACTAACCGTTTTTACAGTTAAGAGTTAAAAAACCACTTAAAAACAGTATCAGCAGGTCTGCTTACCAATCTCTCTTCCACCAATTCATCCTGCATACCACTGCCATTTAAAATTTCTGTAACACTAATATTATAATCAAATACCACTTATGGAGCACCTGCTATGTGTCAAGCACTGCATGCACTATCTCAATTAATTCTCATATAATTCTATAAGGAAACTATTCTTACACCCATTTTGGAGATAAGAAAACTCAAGCTTAAGTAATTAGCCCAAGTTACATAGTTAGTATACAGGAATATAGCAGGAAATCTAACTAAGTTCCAAAGCCTACATGTTCAGCCACTTCACTATTATTTATCTGTTTTCTCAAAAATCCTCCTACAGTTACCCACTTCTTATAGGATGAAGTCCAAACTTCTCAGTCTCACATTACAACTATTCTGATCATTCCCTACTTTCCCAACACTCCTTTAACAGGGCCAGCAGCTACAGTTGTCTGCCCAGTTCTGCAGACTACACAAACGGCACCCTCTTGAGTTCCCAGTATACAACCCACAGAGTCCTACTGGGCAACTTGGCTCACCATACTCCCTCTTTAGCTGGCCAGCCTCCTTACTAACTTCTGCATCTAGCAAATTCTGTTCTGTCTCTGGGTCTTTAATTCTGCTTTTTATCCAAATATTATCTATCTTTCAAGGCCCAACTCAATTTCCACTTCCTCAGAGAAAATTCCCCATGGATTCTTGTCATAATCCTCTTACTCCTTTAAATTCCTACAGACTCAATCTTGTGTCACTTTGTTGTTATTTCCAGGCTACACTGCGCACAACTAGTCCACGACATTGCCAAGTATAGGGAGCAGGTCTTTTATTTTTTTAATATCTATTATGAAACATTTTCACGTATTCAGACATGTACAGATAAATACATTAACAAATATTCTCACAATTACCAGAGATGAAGAGTGTTTAGTGTGTTTACAGGAATCATTAGAGTTCTGGGCACAGAATATGCTTACTGCGAATTTACTAACTGGCTGCTACAACCATAAGGTCAATGGGCCTTTAGTCAGGTTGCCAAAAATGTCCCAGAGAAGATACCATATTCTTTCATATACTTGAAGCTTTTCTGGATAAAAGAGGAGTCTTTAGGAAGGTCTCAAAAATGATTTTTTAAATTATTTTTTTACCTATGAGCTGCTCTGAAATTAAAAACATATTGTCACCTGAGGTATATAACAGAGAGATGCCCAAGTGCAGTGCTAACTGCAGACCTGTGATCCTGAAGAACACACGCCACAGAGCCAGGCCACAGGCTGTGGCCTGAAGAATTCCGTGAGCTTCATCTTGTTCTCTCCAGGCTCAATGGCAGCCTCTTTCCTCCCCTGCCTCAGTCCAGATCTCTAGTTTCCCTCTTGTCCCCTGGATCTCTACTTTTGAACCTTGAAACCTCAAAGGACTTCGATGGAATCCTTATCTCATACTTTGTAGCTAACTGTGTTAGTTACCTGTTGAATAAGTTAATAACCAATAGGGCTTTTACATTACTACTTTTTTTAATGTGATATTTGCTAGCTAGCTAGCAATTTATTTATTTATTGTTTGTTTGTTTTACATTACTACTTTTTAAATATGCTTCCATATTTCCTGTAACTTGAAACCATTTTAAAAAACCTATCTAAATAAATGAATGACTTAGAATAAGAAATCATGACCAACTCCAGAGTCCACTTATCTACTGGGAAGGTGGAATTAAACAAAAGAAGAGGATTATTTCAAAGAAGCTGGTGATAACCGCAGAGCAACCTCCTGTTTCTGTAATCATGACTAATTTCTGTATCAGTAGAACTGGTTAGTCATACCCAGTGTATCCCCATTGAAATGCTATGGATTATTGATTCTAAGGAAAGGGCTCTGCCTGCAGAAACTCCCATGGTTCTTCTGAAAAATTCTCTTTGTCCCTCAATAAAATATTTCTAGACCTATTCCTACAAAGCTCATAAAAGTATGTGATATGGCAGTAAGCCACCAAGAGAATACCCTTAGGGTACAGCAACTTAAAAATCTACTGCTTGCCAATGCTTTTCAGTAAACATTGCCAGTTCTCCATAAACATTATATACAGGAGGATAATAACAAACTAATTAATTTCTACTGCTCTCCAGTGAGGTTGGTATTATCCTTATTTTACACATGAGGACACTGAGCCACATATAGCAACAATCAATGTGGAGGACCACTCAAGAAACCACAGCTTAAACACAAGTTTTGCAAAAGTGAAGTTTTTAGCTACATATGCACTCAGCAATTTCATAAACATGTAGAAAATGTAGATTTACTTCTAAAGTAGGATCAAACCCTGTATGGTTCTATCATCTACTTTTTTAACTTAACCATCTGAAAATGTCAACAGAAAG